TAGTACAGACATGGGCAAACTTCAGCCCTCCAGGTGTTTTGGAGAGCCAAAGTTTACCCATGCCAGATCTAGTCTTTCACTACTCCAAACTATGTCAGTTTCCAAGAAAGGATCTTTGCCTCAGTATCAGGTTTCCCAAAAGCATCAAGGACTGAATCCAGGATTTTACACATTGAACAGACATGCTTTTTCACTAAATTGTGGCTCTCACTTGAAAGAAGAGATCTGTGTAGGCTGCTGTTAGCAGAATTGTCAGTTGCTTGCTCCTTCTTGCTGCCAGATTAAAGCTTTAAACCAGCAAGGTGAGAAATTCCCCCACACTGCTAACTCTGGGTGAGTCGTCTTACACAAGGCTGAAAATGAAGCCCTTGAATTAACCTGTTGATGCATTTCAAGCTATATTTATTATTATTTATTTATTTACTTTGCTTATATACCGCTGTATCTCAAGCCCGAAGGCGACTCACAGCGGTTCACAAACAGTAAAAACAGTAGAAACAGCAGTGGTTCCATACAACATATAACAATTGACTTAACACATTATCCATAAATTACCAATAAGCAATTACAATGCACAATTATTACAAAAAACAACCGTACCCAATCTTCTCATCATCCAAGCGTAGTCCAGGTTCGTCGTCCATTGTTCCATTCCTATAACATTTGCTGAACCAGTATTTTAATCAAAACCCATGTTTATCAATACTAAACTGCATCTAAGCTGTGATAAAACCGCTGTTGAAAAAACCATCACTGGACCCCACTCAACTCGTCAACTATCGGCCTGTTTCCAATCTCCCCTTCTTGGGAAAAGTCCTGGAACGTGTGGTGGCCTCACAACTCCAGGCATTCTTGGTAGACACGGATTATCTGGACCCGGCACAGTCTGGCTTTAGGCCGGGGCATGGTACCGAGACAGCCTTGGTCGCCTTAGTGGATGATCTGAGCCGGGAGCTCGACAGGGGGAGTGTGTCCCTGTTGGTGCTGCTGGACCTCTCAGCGGCCTTCGATACCGTCGACCACGGTATCCTTCTGGGACGCCTCGCGGGGATGGGTCTTGGAGGTACTGTTCTGCAGTGGCTCCGCTCATTCCTCGAGGGTCGGTCTCAGAAGGTGTTACTGGGAGACTCCTGTTCAACCCCACAACCTTTGTCTTGTGGGGTTCCTCAGGGTTCAATATTGTCTCCCATGTTGTTCAACATCTACATGAAGCCGCTGGGTGAGATCATCCGGAGTTTCGGGGTGCGATGTCATTTGTACGCAGATGATGTTCAACTCTGTCACTCCTTCCCACCTGTCACTAAGGAGGCTGTCGAGGTCCTGAACCGGTGCTCGGCCGCTGTGACGGTCTGGATGGGGGCGAACAAATTGAAATTGAATCCAGACAAGACAGAGGTACTCCTGGTTAGTCGCAAGGCCGAACAGGGTATAGGGTTACAGCCTGTGTTGGATGGGGTCGCACTCCCCCTGAAGACGCAGGTTCGCAGTTAGGGTGTGATCCTGGACTCATCGCTGAGCCTGGAACCCCAGGTTTCGGCGGTGGACCAGGGGAGCATTCGCACAGTTAAAACTCGTGCGCCAACTGCGCCCGTACCTTGGGAAGTCTGACTTGGCCACGGTAGTCCACGCTCTGGTTACATCCCGTTTAGACTACTGCAACGCTCTCTACGTGGGGTTGCCTTTGAAGACGGCTCGGAAGCTCCAATTAGTCCAACGGTCGGCAGCCATGATACTAACTGGAGCGGAGCGCAGGGAGCACACAACTCCTCTGCTGCACCAGCTCCACTGGCTGCCGATTTGCTACCGGGCTCAATTCAAAGTGCTGGCGTTGAAGCCCTAAACGGTTCTGGCCCAACCTACCTATCCGAACGTATCTCGGCCTATCAGCCCACCAGGACCCTAAGATCTTCTGGGGAGGCCTTGCTCTCTATCCCGCCTGCTTCACAGGTGCGGCTGGCGGGGACGAGAGACAGGGCCTTTTCTGTGGTGGCCCCTCGGCTCTGGAACGCCCTTCCCATGGAGGTAAGATCAGCCTCCTCGCTGATGGTATTCCGAAAAAGACTAAAAACTTGGATGTTCAAGCAGGCATTTGGTTAATTCGGTGCAATGAATGTGTCGACTACGGATTGGTAATATGGATGATGCAATTGGACCACGATTTTAGTTAGGAGATGTATTGGATTGTGATTTACGTGTAATATTGTGTATTATGTTTTTTATGGTTTTAATTGTATACTGTGTACTGTATATTTTGTTGTAAACCGCGTTGAGTCGCCAGTTAGGCTGAGAAACGGCGGTATACAAGGACAGTAAATAAATAAATAAATAAATAAATATTGTAGAATTGATGTAGTTTAACAGCCACGGCTCAATGTGATGGAGTCCTGAGTGTTGTTGTTTGGCGAGGCACCAGCACTATTTGGCAGAGAAGGTTAAAGACCCTATAAACTACAACCTTCATGATTCCATGGGATTGAGCCATGGCAGTTAAAGTGGTGTCAAAATATATCAATTCTACAGTACAGATCAGCGTTTCTCAACCTGAGAGTCAGGACCCCAGGAAGGTGGGGGCAGTCACAAGGGAAGTGTCAGAGGGGTCACCAAAGACCACCAGAAAACACAGTATTTTATGTTGTCATGGGCTTCTGTGTGGGAATTTTGACCCAATTTTATCATCAGTAGGATTCAGAATTCTCTTTGATTGTAGGTGAACTATAAATCCCAGCAACTACAGCTCCCAAATGTCAAGGTCTATTTTCCCCAATCTCCATTACTGTTCACATTTCAGCATATTGAGTATTTGTGCCAAGTTTGGTCCAGATCCATCATTATTTGAGTCCACAGTGCTCTCTGGATGTAAGTGAACTACAACTCCAACACTCAAGGTCAATGCCCACCAAACCCTTCCAGTATTTTCTGTTGGTCATGGGAATTCTATGTGCTAAGTTTGGTTCAATTCCATTGTTGGTGGAGTTCAGAATGCTCTTTGATTGTAGGTTAACTATAAAACCCAGCAACTACAACCCCCAAATGACAAAATCAATCCCTCCAGAACCCCATCAGTATTCAAATTTGCGTATATCGGGTATTTGTGCCAAATTTAGTCGAGTGAATGAAAATACATCCTGCATATCAGATATTTACATTATGTTTCATAACAGTAGCAAATTTACAGTTATGCAGTAGCAATAAAAATAATTTTATGGCTGGGTGTCACCCCAACATGAGGAACTGTATTAAGGGGTCATAGCATTAGGAGGGTTGAGAACCACTGGTGTAGATGCACCCTGAGTGTTTCCAGCCTTTTTTCACCCCAATATTTATTTTTTTATTTATAGTATTTCTATGCCGCCTTTCTCAGCCCAAAGGTGACTCAAGGCAGCTTACAAATTGGCAGCAATTCAATACCATAACAGTCATAAAACACAATTTAAAACATTTAGCACAAATTATAAAAACCATATAAAAACTATTTAAAACATATAATCACCAGTGACTTCCTGATTAACTCATTTTCTAAGCCATTCCATGTCTAAGAATTGTCTAAGTCATTCCATGTTCACTCTTTCCTAGTTCCATGTTTATCTAATTACTTCATTTCCAAAGGCTTGTTCAAAACACCAGGTTTTTACTTTTTTTTTGGAATGTCAGGATCTAATATCCATAGGGAGGGAGTTCCATAGCTGAGGGGTCACCACTGATAAGGTCCTGTCTCTCATCCCTGCCAGACGTGCCTGTGATGAAGATGGGATTAAAAGCAGGGTCTCCCCAGAAGATCTTAAGTTCCTAGCTGGCTCATAAGGAGAATCAGCTTATATATCTTGCACATTAATACAAAATGGCCTGTTATTAAACTCCCAGCAAAAGACATTCAAGATTTTCAGGACCCTACAGACAAATCAGTGAAGCCCCTATTTTTAATTTAATGTTATTTAAATTATAGCCTTATAGCCAATTATAGCACCGGGACTGTGGCACAGCTGGCTGGGTGTCAGCTGCATTAAGATCACTACTGACCAAAAGGTCATGAGTTCGAAGCCAGCTCAGGTCAGAGTGAGCTTCTGACCAATTTGTGTAGCTTGTTGTCGACCTTTACAACCCGAACGACAGTTGCATCTGTCGAGTAGGAAATTTAGGTACCGCTTATGCAGGGAGGCTAATTGAACTAAATTTAGAACACCATAAAAGTCTCCAGCAAGCATGCAAAGAATGAGGAAGTACTTCATCAGTGTCACAAATGGACAGTGAAGCAACAATTCCCCTGGTGGCCAGAATCCCCTCATGAAAAAAGTGGAATGTTAAATAGCCTTTGTGTATCTGGCTATATGTGGTGTGTCTATGACATTGAATGTTTGCCATGTATATGTACATTATAATCTGCCCTGAATCCCCTGCAAGGTGAGAAGGGTGGAATATAAAAACGGAAAATAATAAATAAATAAATGTGTGATTAAAGTGTGCCTTAGAAATTGAGGTTCTGTTGTTACAGAGCAACACTGTTCTACCACTGTCTGGAAAGAAATATTAAAGACAGACAGACAAAAAGAAAAAAAGAAAGAGAGAGAGAGAAAACACCAAGATAGAAATGTTCAAAAGGCAACTTTTGGTGGTTCTGAAACAGCTGCATGAACTTTCTGAGTTGTTACTTGGGTTTTGCTCAACAAGAGCCCAAGAACTGCCTATTTCAGCCTCTCCCCCCCCCCCCCCCCCCCCCCGACTGGTCCTTCCCACTCCACCCTCCACCAACCTCCCAGAAGGGGCTCTCAAGCTCTTAGCCCTGGAGCTGCTGGGAGTAGAGCGAAGCGCCCTCCCGTTGGGGAAGCACAAGCGAGCGCGCTCCGAGTTCTTCAGCACCACAACAGTTGGACAGCTCCCGCTTGGCGCCGTGACAAACAACCGCGCCCTCGCTCCCGAATCCCCGCCGCTGCCCATGGGCACTCTCCCAGCCGGCCTCCCCTTCCCACCTTGGCTGAAGGAAATCAAAATCTGCGAGCCCTTACATTGTTTCTTGGTTAGGAATGATCTCAGCCTCGGTTTCCTCGCTCGCCCTCTCAGCTGCTAGCAAAGATGGCTTTCTCCTCCTGTTGCAAACAGCCTCTTAGTAGGGTAGGCACTGTTGCTGAGGAGGAGGAGGAGCAGGAGGCACAGCTACTGAGCATGCCTGCACCTCAACAGCTCTCCCAGGAGAGGCGGCGACCAGCGCTTTTGCCACCTTCTGTCTGGAGAGGGGGAAAGAGCAGCAGGGAGGCAACTCTGGGATCTCTGGTTTCTCCTCTAAGACCTGTTGCTGAACAAGTGGAAGCCCAACGCTCTTCTTCTCAATACATGTTTGTGGGCAAATCAGACTACACAGAATATATTTTAATATCAATTCATGGCATGGCCAATTGCCTGAAAAGTTCTTGGTTGTGTTGGTTTCATTGCTCCCAGGTTTTGGTGGCAAGGGTTCTGCTTGCACAAGATGCGTCTCTTCCCAATTCTAGCAAAGTCTGGTGATGGCATTAAACTTTATTGTTTTAATGATCTTATACAGTTGTGAAGTAGCAACAAAAATAATTTTATGGGTTGTTGTAGGTTTTTTCGGGCTATATGGCCATGGTCTAGAGGCATTCTCTCCTGACGTTTCGGCTGCATCTATGGCAAGCATCCTCAGAGGTAGTGAGGTCTGTTGGAACTAGGAAAAAGGGTTTATATATCTGTGGAATGACCAGGGTGGGACAAAGGACTCTTGTCTGCTGGAGCTAGGTGTGAATGTTTCAACTGACCACCTTGATTAGCATTAAATGGCCTGACAGTGCCTGGAGCAAACCTTTGTTGAGAGGTGATTAGATGTCCTTGTTTGTTTCCTCTCTGTTGTTGTGCTGTTGTAATTTTAGAGTTTTTTTAAATACTGGTAGCCAGATTTTGTTCATTTTCATGGTTTCCTCCTTTCTGTTGAAATTGTCCACATGCTTGTGGATTTCAATGGCTTCTCTGTGTAGCAAAAAGAATTTGCGAACCCCACCTCCTCCAAGATGAACTGAACCACCTCAACTGGGCTCTACAGGCCAATGGATACTCCACCTCAGACATCAGAAGAGCCATGAAAGCCTTCGACAATAATTTTATGGTTAAAGTTGCCACAACATAAGGCATTCTTAAGGGATTACGGCATTGGGAAGGTTGAGAACCACTGGTCTAGGGTTTTGGGATGCTGTGAGTTTTCTGGTCTGTATGGCCATATTCCATAATAATCATCATCATCATCATCATCATCATCATCATCTTTATTTATATCTTGCTGCCATCTCCGTGGTGGGGACTCAGAGCGGCTTACATGGGGCCAAGTCCAGACAACGTATTACAGCATAAACAAAAACAACACCATCATCATCAAAATTACATTTTTTAAAAAGCACAGTCATAAAATAACATTCTAAACACAATCACAATAACGATAACAATGGATGGGCCGCATATACAGGATAAAACAATTAAAAGGCTGTAATGAGATAAAAATAGGAGCAGGGCATTTAAGGGGAGGCTAAACTTCCCATTTGGAGGGCGCGAGCTCCAGTAGCAAAAAACAAACATTGAGGGGTGCAAAATGTCATGGTGTGCACCTACTCACCAAAGGAGTAGCGGAAGAGCCAGGTTTTAAGGTTCTTTTTGAACATTTCTAGTGAAGGGGCTTCCCTGATCTCTCCAGGCAAAGAGTTCCAAAGTCGGGGAGCCACAGAGGAGAAGGCTCTCTTCCTTGTACCCACAAGACAAGCTTGTGAGATTGGTAGGGGTGAGGGAAGGACCTCCCTCGAAGATCAAAGGGCCCGGGTTGGTACATGGAGAGAGATACGGTCACGAAGGTAGGTGGGTCCCAAACCGTTTAGGGCTTTGTAGGTTGTTGTAGGTTTGAATTGGGACCAGAAAATAAATGGCAGCCAGTGGAGCTCCTTAAACATGGGAGTCGAGAGCTCCCTATAACTAGCCTCAGTTATTAATCTGGCTGCCAAGCGGTGGACAAGTTGTAGTTTCCGGGCCGTCTTCAAGGGTAGCCCCATGTAGAGAGCATTACAGTAGTCCAGTCTAGAGGTAACTAAGGCATGGACCACCATGGTCAAGTCAGACTTCACAAGGTATGGTCACAGCTGGCGCACGAGTTTTAACTGTGAGAAGGCCCTCCCAGCCACCGCTGACACCTGAGCATCAAGCGTCAGCGCTGAGTCCAGGAGGACCCCCAAGCTGCGGACCTGTGACTTCAGGGGGAGTGCAACCCCGTCCAGCACAGGTTGCCACCCAATACCCCGTTATCTCCTGATGTTTCACCCACATCTATGGCAGGCATCCTCAGAGGTTGTGAGGTCAGTAGGAAACTAGTAAGTGAGATTTATATATCTGTAGAATGTCCGGGATGGGAGAAAGAACTCTTGGGGTTTTTTTTAAGTGTGAATGTTGCAATTGGCCACATTGATTAGCATTGAATGGCCTTGCAGCTTCAAAGTCTGGCTGCTTCCTGCCTGGGGAAATTCTTTGTTGGGAGGTGTTAGTTGACCCTGATTGTTTTCTATCATGAATTCCTTTGTTTTTTGAGTATTGCTCTTTATTTAGTGTCCTGATTTTAGAGGTTTTTTAAAATACTGGTAGCCAGGTTTTGTTCATTTTCATGGTTTTCTCATTTCTGTTGAAATTGTCCACATGCTTGTGGATTTCAATGGCTTCTCTGTATAGTCTGACATTGTAGTTGTTAGAGTAGTCCAGCATGTTTGTGTTCTCAAATAATATGCTTTGTCCAGGTTGGTTCATCAGGTGCTCTGCTATGGCTGACTTCTCCGGTTGAATTAGTCTGCAGTGCCTTTGATATTCCTTGATTTGTGTTTGGGCGCTGCATTTGGTGGTCCCTTTGTAGACTTGTCAACAATTACATGATATTTGTGTTTCTTCATCAGCTTCCCTATGCAGTCAGTAGTTCCCTTGATGTGTGATAAGAACACTTACCCTCTGGGTTGATCTTTGTCTTTGCTCTCATTGCTTATTCTTGGTCTTGCAGCTCTTCTGTTGTCTGTGGTGGAGTATCCATTGGCCTGTAGAACCCAGCTTGTACAGGGTGAAGTTTGTAAAAGTTCCCATTTGGTCTACAAATTCCAGAATTCTCCCCTTTGCTGCGGGATTCTGTGAGTTATAGAACAGAAACATTTAAAGTAATGAGACTTGCTCCAGTGCTGTGCCTCTCCCCAGCCATGCCAACCATGATGATGATATTTTATATTCAATAAGACTGGAGTGTAATATTTTTTAAAAAGTGTATTGCTTTTATTAGTACGCTCATTGTTGTACCTGACATTGAAATACAATGTAGTTGTGTTTTTTTCTTGTTGATCTGATATTAGAGCTTCCATGTGGAAATGGTGGAGTAAATCATAGAATGTGGATGGTAATGGCATACACTATTTTCAGTAGAACCTTCAAAGCAGGTACAAGGCTGTATGGTTAATAATAATGTTTTAAATGGATTTTTAACCTAATGTTTTTATCTACTGTGTAATGTCGTGCAGTATTTTTTTTGTATGTGTGGGCATCGAATTGTTGCCAGTTGTAAGCTATCCTGAGTCCCCCTTCAGAAGCTGAGAAGGATGGGGTACAAATATTTGAAATAAATAAATAAGTAAGTAAGTAAATAAATAATAAATAAGGTCATTTAAACAATCACGTTTAACGCTATCATAAATGTTATGATAGCACGCAGATGGGGCCAGTTCTACTGTTAGGTAGAATGCGTAGACTTCTGTGTGTCATGGAAGAATGGCAAATGGTTATTTAATTTGTTGGATTTTTTATGTCTGGGAATTAAAAAGAAGTTTGTTTCCTCCCCCTGCCTCATGTGCCTAATAACTTTGGGTACTATGCAACTTGACTTGGGAAGTTGGAAAGCTAAAATTTGCATTTACTATTATTTTCTCAGATGGCAAAGTATCAAAAGTCAGTGGGAAGATCGTCCAATTCACTTAAGATGACTGTTCAATTCAATCACTTAAGTATGATTTTCATGTATGACAAAGTATGACTGTTTTATAGAACCAAAGATACCCCAACATCTAAGCTCCTACTTCTAATGTAGCATACATTTTATACTTCTCCTACAAAGCAGTTTCCTAGTAACCTAGGAAAGAGAATGAATGTCTTCAATGTTTCATTTCCATCAAGCACACTGAAATTACTTCAAGAGGCAAGAACATGTTTGCCTTTTATGCTGGAGTCCTATGAAAACAAACCATCCAATTTTTTGGATAGTTATTGAAACACAAGGCTTGCTGAATTCAGTGGGATCTCCTTTCTTGGTTTGTGGGTACAGGGCTGTAGTGAATATCCAAGACATACCTTTTCCAAGTCTGAGTTTGTCGGGCACTACTGCTGATTGCAAGGTTGGCTATACCATCACACTAGAGAATGAATCCACTTTAAATCCAATTTCTACCACCTGCAGAATTCTGGGGTTTGTAGTTTAGAGAGGAGCCTTTAAAAACCTCACAAAACTACAAACCTAGGAATTCTGCAGGAGGCAGAAACTGGATTTTAAATTGATTTTTTTTTCTCTAGTGTGATAAAGTGATGGGTCACATGGAGCTCTCCAAATATCATGGATTAGAATACCCAGGGCCCTTCCACATAGCCCTTTATCCCAGAATATCAAGGCAGATAATCCCACAATATCTGGGTTATCTGAGTCCATACTCAGATAATGTGGGATTTTCTGCCTTGATATTCTGGGATATAGGGCTGTGTGGAAGGCCCCCCAGAAGCCTTATTCACCCACAGTCAATCATGAGAATCATAGAATCACAGAGTTGGAAGAGCCCTCATGGGCCATCCAGTCCAACCCTCTGCCAAGAAGCAGAAAAATTGCATTCAAAGCCCCCCCCCCCCCCCGGACAGGTGGCCATCCAGCATCTGTTCAAAAGCTTCTAAAGAAGGAGCCTCCACCACACTCTGGGGCAGAGAGTTCCACTGCTGAATGGCTCTCACAGTCAAGAAATTCTTCCTAATGTTCAGCTGGAATCTCCTTTCTTGTAGTTTGAAGCCATTGTTCCGTGTCCTAGTCTCCAGGGCAGCAGAACACAAGCTTGCTCCCTCCTCCTATGACTTCCCCTCACATATTTATACATGGCT